GGTTGTGTCCCCCCCCCCCCCCCCCCCAAAGCCAGTCCCTGCCGTGTACACGCTTGCCCAGCCATCTTAGCCCTGTCTTCCCTCCACAGTGCTCTCCCACGCACAGATCCAAACCCCCATCACAGCGGGGTTTAGGGAGGGTTTTGGCCTCCGGTCCCTTCTGTGCGTGCCCAGCCTGCCCACTCCCACCCACGCCAAGTCCTTGCAAGCAGCCATCATCCCCACAGTTGAGGGCAAGGCACGGGGGCCCCGCGTGCTCCCAAATTCAATTTCAGGGCCCCTTCTCAGGGCACCTCTCAAACTGCCAGCAAAGCCAAGCCCACGGGAGTGCCGCAGGGCCATGCCTGGGTCTGAGAGCTGCTGTGCTTGTACACACAAATCACACCCAGGCCTCTTCAGCTCACTCTCACTGACCCACACATCACCTGTGCTCCCACATGGCCGGGGCATCCGAGCAGTTTGGGAATGCTTCTCAACATCAGTGAGAAGCAGAAACTTCAAAGAAAGCCTGGAAATTTGGAAACACTTTGGGAAAACTGCTCTAAGTGCTCTTGCCCCAGAGTCACCATGAAATCCACAGCTGGACGGATGACTCCAGCAAAGGTCCAGCTGCCACTTTGCCTCTTTTTTTCCTAATGTGCATATAGGTTCTTGCTGACCCTCTGCAGAGAGCTTAGTTTTATCTGATACCTCAGCCACAGCAGAAAGGACCCAGAGCAAGGTGGAGCATTTTTGGCTATTTAACTCCATATGAAACGAGTAAAGACATCCCCCGCCCCGCATGGCCCAGGCTCACCCCACCAACTTCCCTGCCTCTGTCTCTGCAACCCTTCCAGGTCCCCATGACTCAGACACAATGGGACAGGATTCACCCCTTGTTTAGCCCTGCTTGGTTCTTCCTGCTGGTGACCTTGCTGGTGGTCCTGCTGGTGACCTTGCTGGTGGCCCTGTTGGTGGAGGGACAAACCACCAGGAGCAGCCCAGAGGAGCTGCCTGGCACCCTGCAGAGCTCACCCCATTGATGTCTGCAAAGGGACAACCAGGAGGCATTTGGCCCTCTTGTTCCATGTAGAGAGATTAAACCCTGTGCTCCCCCCAGTTCACACCCCCTCGAGGAGAAACTTAGGAGAAAAGGGGTCCTTGAAGACAACAGGGAAGTACCAGCAGCACCTGGGCGGCTTCCCCAGGAGCACCGGCCTGCGGGAACACCTCCGAGCAGGAACATTTCTTCCCTGTTAAAGGGGATGAAGTATTGCAAGGAACTTGGCTTGACTTTTCCTGAAGAACATAGGAATCCTCCTCTCCCTGCAGTGCCCGCTCATCCCATGCCCAGGGCTCTGCTGCTGTCTGTTAATATTCAATAGAAGTTACATGTGCATGACCAGCTAATAGTGAGCAAACATTTGGAAAACATCATGGCGTGACTGAACTCGGGGGCCTGCTACTGATAACAAGCGGCATAACCTTGAGAGCTCCTATTTACAGCCGCTGACTGCAGGGCTTTTCTTCTGGCCCAGCCTCATTATTGCTTTTTATCAGGTGGATTTATACATGGAGAATGTATCAATCCAGAGAGCCACCAGCCTAAGGCAGGGACTGTTCTGTTTTCCCTGCCATCGATCAATACCTTATTTGAGCAGATGGCTTTGACTGGCGTGGCCGTGGGGAGTTACGGCCAGCCCACTGCCTCCCGGCAGACAGGGAGGCAAATCCTCCCTCGGCACTGCTGCTTCTGCTCTGGCTCCTGCCACCCTGAGACTCAAAGCCCGGGTCCTGAAGACTAGACCAAGCAGGGAGGCACGTTGGGGTCAAACCTGTCCTGGGCCTCTCTTTACAATAAGGTACGAGAGAGCTCTGTTGCTCTGGATAGATAAGTAGGAGCCGTTCTGCACTTCCTTCCTTATTGCAGCTTAGACGGAAGTTTTCCAACTGCACCTACGCGGTGCAAGAGCCTCCCAAACGGAGCTCGCAGAAGCCGCATGGACAGACAAAGAAGCCATGCAGATACGCGACTCCTCCATTGCACACATAAGCTTTGGGCTGCGTGCGTGAGCATGGCCGCCGTTTCAGACCCCATATCTTGAAATCAAAAACCTCAGGGCCAGATCCTTTGAAAGGAAGCTTGCCCATTGAACTCTACAGGCTTTGAACCATGTGTTCGGGTTCTGAAACAGCCCCATCCCAGGAAAGCCTAATAAAGCGAACGTGAAAACAGAACCACCAGATGTAGTCAGCTCTCGCAGGCATCCCGTCACAAACCAGACCCAGCCGCACCTCCACCCTGCCAGGCAGGGAAGCTGGGAAACTGCAGCGAAGGAAGGGGAACGCCAAGAGTCTGTGCTATTTTTCGGTGTGCGTTGCCACGAATGACCTGCAGCTCAACCAAAATACTCTCTTGCAGCTGTACAAAACGAACGGGACCGAATCAGCACCCGGAGATCAAGTTATGAAGACAGCAGCTTGCCCTCCATCAATGCCTTGCTGCAGGCAGAAGTCCTGGCACAACAGGTACCTCTTCTTTCTTCTTTGGCAGATACAAAAGCATCAGGCACTATCCGGCCAGTAGAACCAGTTGAGTATTTAATAGCTGAGTCTTCAAATTACCACCTCTTCTCTAAGTAACTTATTTGCCAACTCAACGCTGGTTTTTCAAAGGCATTTGTTACCTGAAACCATCCCTTTCATGCTCCTTGGTCCAGAACTCAGTTGCAATAAGATGCAATAATCTGTTCTGCTTTGATGGGACACATGAGGGCTGGACAGCCTGCTGGAAGAAAATAGGGTGGAATCATTGCAACTCAAGGAGCTGCGGCCGCCTAAGCCAGCCGAGGGGCTGGCCTCGCATGAGCAGCCCCCCTTCCCCATCGGCTGTTAGGAACTTCGGGTTCTGGCTTCCTGCACAGTTTCATGAGGAATCAGTTTCATGCTTGTTTTATGCAGATATTCTTTCCAGTGTTTGCTTGAAATTCCCCATTTCCACAGGCATGCTGCCGAGACTTGTTTCCTAGAGCATTCACCTGGAAAGATGAGTCCGATTTAAGAATCGGGATATTGCAAACGGTGTATATCAGAGCAGCAGTGTCTGGGAGGGCACAGGACAGGATGGGAGCACACAGGCTGCGGGAAGGGTTTGTCTGCAGGAACAAGGGATGAGGATGGGGCTGTGCTGCGGGCAAGAGCTGCCATTCTTCATGGGAGCTGGGCAGAGCGGCACTCCTTGTCCCGCGGAAAATGCAGAGGGGTTTGAGTTGGCAGCCCATGTTCTTCCTTGCTTCAAGGGTCACGTTACCCTGAAGGCTGCCCTGGGAGAAGCTCCAGGACAGGACGTGCCGTGCGCTGGGCTCCACGCTAGGGCTCAGGCTGCGGGGTGCACTTCCCTGCGGAGGGACTACGCCAGAAGGGCCAAGGGCCAAGCCTGTACACAAGAAGCATATCCAATCTCATCCCACGTCTCACCTTGTCCTACGCAGGCTCTAATATATTTATATACCTTATAAAAATAATATTGGTGCTGCTCCGAGAGGTGTGAGATAACGGGGTCTCGAGTCACCCGATCTACAAGGGAAGGACCTTTCCGGGACTCCGAGTCCTGCAGTGGCATCATACGTTAAGTCTCGACCAGGGTCTGCTGATAAAAACTACAACCATCGACAAATCCAGGGGAGCTCCTGCTCTCCCACAGAGCACAGAGAGACTCATTAAACAAGGCAGGCTCCAGCACGGTAATTGGTAACTTTTATGTGCCTAGCTAATTAAAACAAGATACTGCTGAGGAGCTGCTTTCTCCAGGATCTCGGGTCACTCACTCAGAGGTCTTTATTTATTTGCTAAGCCTTCCGGGCTCTCTGATTAGGGTAATACATGGTGAGATTTTTACAATCTTATTTATTCAATAATAGCTCGAGAGCTGGAAAGCTTCCAGGTAATGCAACCTGGAAAAAAAAAAATGCAGGTGGCATTTGAACTCCATTTCCTTGGGGAGGCTGGCAGGGTCCACGCTGCAAACGCTGGCAGGAACAGGACAGGAAGAGCTGATGTTGTACGAGAGAGAGAGGGCAGGTGGAGGGCAGCGATGGGCTTGAGTTAATTGCTTACAGAAGCATGAGGATAAAGTAGTGACTAGGGCAAATTTTTAGATGAGCTGGGTGAGCAGCTATGCATGAGAACTGGGCAGGAGGTTGTGTGGCTGGTTTGGGGGAGATGTTCTTTCCAGCTCTGTGTGACGGTACTCGCGGAGTTGCCAGGCTTGTCCTTTGCAAATGAAATGTCCCTGTTTACTTCTGCAATCACAAATAATTTGCCGTGCAAAAAATGCGACCTGTGTTGCGGGCATGTTTGCACACGCACAGTTTTGCCAAAAGGACCTAAAAGCTGGGGGGAGGTGGGAGGTTGTCTTTAAAGTCTGTCTTTAGCATTTCAAATTGGGTAATGCCAAATATTAATGACCTGGTGCTCACAGAAAGCAATGCCAGACCTGGAAAGTTCAGCAGAGACTTCTTGTGCTCGTGCTGACTCGGACTCCTGTCAAAAGCAGACAAGGCAGGCCTGGCCAGGCACCGGCTCTGCAGCAGGGCGGAACGGGGAGCCGTTCTCTGCCCTGTGGTGGGACCAAGTAGCTTGTGCGGCAGCACTGGTCCTTGCTACTGGTGAGGCTGACCGCTACCTGAGCCCCTCTGTTCCCTCCTGGATCTTGACTGAGCACATTTGTGCTCCCTCCCAGGGAGACCTTGGATTTAGAAACATTTCTTCTGTGCTTTCCAGTCTATTCAAGGCATGAGAGTTTACTAAGATGACCCGCAGCCTCAGCTCTGAAGCATTTCACGTTCACAGATCCCCAAGTTGATCTCAATTTAAATGGGTTGTGTTGGGCCACATATTCTGGGGGCTGGATGTGCAACAGAAAAAAGTAATTGTTGATGCTGGAGTCTGCATCAACACAACCCGTGGGCTGGGGACTTTCCTGTCTATGTTTCCTCTGTGGCACTGAAAGCTGAAGGATTGCTTCTCTCCTCCCAGATATCATCCCCGGTTCCGGTGATCAATGGAGACATCCGAGGGAAGAAGATTGCCAACATCTCCGACGTGTGCGAGTCCATGAAGCAGCAGCTGCTGGTGCTGGTGGAGTGGGCCAAGTACATCCCTGCCTTCTGCGAGCTGCCCCTGGACGACCAGGCAAGTCCCCCATCCACCCCGCCTCGCTCTGCCCTGGCGAAGGCAGCGGGGAGCCGAAGGAGGGCCAGGCAGCTGTGACCTTCAAAGAAAACGTGCATTGTCCACTGTTATCCTGACTGCTGCGGCTGATTGGGAACGGCATCCATACAATGCCAGCACGGGCCATTTGCATGTGCAGCTAATCAGCCGATGAGCACAGCCACGATAACACCGAGTTCAAATTAGGTCCACAATCAGGTGCGCATTTTGCATGGGTCTATCAGTCAATTACTTATTAATTATAGTTTGTGCAGCACTTTGAAAACCTGAAGTGCTATACAAATACTTAGGGTAATCAGCAGGACAGATTTCTAGCCTAAGGTCTGCTCAAGACTTAAAACCAAATCTGCCTGTCTCTCTCTCTTTCTGCTTCTTGCCCGGGGATATGTCTGTGTCCATTCTCCCAGTGTGGAATTATGAAAACTAAACACTAGTTTGCTCCCAAGGCAATAAGAAAATCTCTCTTCAGAGTTAAAAAACAGAAATATATTTGCATTTAACATAAATTATTCAAATGACATTTGCTGATTGACCAAGATAAGCACAGTGGGTTTGAAATCCTCTGTAAAAGTGTACTGCAGGATCGCAGGCAGCCTCGAAGAGCTACACGGAGATATCTCCTGGCAAGTCTAAACTGCAGAGGTCTGCAGCAGATGTTGCAGGACCTGACGTGTGCCCAGCCTTGAACAGCACGTGCGGAGGTGAAGAGGCTCCAGAGGGAAGGGATAGCCCTTCTGGCAGGGGATAGCACTTCTGGCAGTGGCCAGCACAGGTCCCATCACAGGCAGGAAGGTATTTCCAGTCTTCCCAGTGTTCGGCCACAAAACCAGCATGGGTCCTCTTCAGCTAGGATCAGACTCCAGCTCTGTTGATCTAGAGGTAATTTTTACATCATGAAGAAAAAGGATATCCAGAAAGTGAGAGCGTCCAGCTGATCAAAAACTCCTAAATCCTAAAACTGAGATCTTCAGTAATAACTCAGCAGCACAAAGCCCCGGGGAATTCAGTGCTGTTAAGACAGAGCATATTTCCCTCTTTACTATTGTGTGCAAGTGCTAAATTGTTTAAAATGGTAAGAAATCTGTTAAACCCCTAAGGCAAAAGCAACTCAAAAATTATGAAAACCAAAATGGACTCCAATGGGAAATGACATTTACACAGCGAAGAGGCTGCAGCCCAGCGGAGGCTTGGGCAGCTCTGCATAACCCATTGCATCCTTCTGCCATTTGGAAGCAGTAAACCTGGTTAATAACTCTGCCAACTACAGCAATTTCCACGTGAGCTCATTTTACAATTGTGGGGCTGCAAAATTTCTCAAAGAAGAAAACAAAGCCCAAAGATGACGTTGTCTGAACTCTGCCTTCCCGCAGAGGAGAGGCTGCTCTTGGCATGCTCCACAGGCTCGTCCTGACTGAAAGACATCTTCGGTTATGACCAGCCACCCCCCATCCTGAGCAGTTCCCAATCTGTCCCAAAGGACTTGAGAGGAAAGCCTGTGCTGCCTTAAACTAATCAATTCACGCCACCCACGCTGTCGAAGGATGGTACGAGAAGAGGGGCAGCGATACTCAGGGGAGCGCAGGAGGAAGGGCAGAAATGCCAGAGAGCAGGAACGAACAAAACTAAGTGCAAGCCAGCTGCCCAAGGGGCATGAGAGCCAGTCAAGACACGTCCAGTGGGAACACTTAACGTTGGGAAACGCTGCTACATTGTCCTTAAAATCTTGCCTGAGAATGAATCATCTCTGCCAACATTTTTATAGGAAAGGTCATACTCAACCCTTCATTCTTCCCATGCACCAAAATGTCAAAGTACTGGGTTTGGTGGGGCAAAGTAATTTCATTTCAAAGTTAAAGTTCTACTTTGTTGTGTTACAACTTTTATATTTATCCTAGTTCACAATGGGATGATGTATCTCAGGTCGATACTGCAGGAACAAATGTCAAATGAGATGGTTTTGCCTTGACGAAGTAATTTACTTTAACCTTGCTCAAACAAGCAGATTTTATGGAAACAAAAATGGTGGTTTCAAACTGAGCTTTCTTGAATTTGCATTAGGCAGGGAATGCCTATGTCAGGGCTTTGCTCCCCCTGGGGACTCACAGTTTTTCCATCCTTCTCAAAGTTTTGTCAGATAGGAAAGCTCCGTTTTTTGCAGCTCGGGTCATTACAAGTGGCTTGGCTAACACATCCACCCATGTTTGGATAGCGATAGAGAGAGGCTAGATTTTGGCATATAGATAAAGGTTCCCCAGCATCATGTGCACATAGTCTTTTTGCAAGGACCTCCACTCTGTTTATTTTGCATAACTTTAAAATAAAAATCCCTCTCTCAGATGTCAGCATCTTTTCTAACCAGAGCTCTCTTCTGTGGGTGACACATTTTCCTGGCATTTCTGGGAGGCTAAGACTTCTCTGGGCTTCGTCAGATGCTGAGGGATGACACACTGGAAAAGGGAACCATTCCCATCAGGGGACACTTTTCAGAATCTCTCCATCAATGTTTAATGATTGTTTTCTCCAGCAGAGGCTCCTGGCTGGACATTAAGAAGCCTCTGCGTCAGGCTGTCCAATCGTTAACTTCTGTTTCTGCCTAAATCTCTGAAATTTTTAACTGAAGGAGGGTAAAAGATTCAGAACATTCTCAGGAGCCACTGGAGGGTGAAACACTTCAATCATTAACGTCAGGGCAGAAAAACATCCCTTTGGCTTCCCTGGCCCAAATGTCCATTGCTGCGGAGGGAACGAATGACCAGAGGGTGACCCCACCGGCCGGGCGGAGGCGGGTCCCCGGGAGCGGGATTTCGGTGGGAGGTGGGGACGGCCCAGAGGGACAGCAGCTGCCCGCGGCAGGGGATCCTACTGCTCCCCGCTTCCCAGGCTGGAGCACGGTCCCTGGGTCTGCACGTGGTAGGAGTTGCCTTGTCTGCAAACGGCCCGCTGGGAACACGTCCCACTGCTGGCCTGAGGTCCTGGGTCAGTCTAGCGTGGTCTTGCTCATGACATGTGCCATGAATATGGGATGGTTCAGGCGCTGTCTATTACCTACTCACTGTGCTGGATTTATAGCTGTTTATGCACAGGAGTAAACCATTTTTCGACCTCTTTCTCTGACTGTGACTGGAGAGGGGCTCTCACTCCCCATCCTTGAGTGCAGTACAGAAATGCTGGGCTTTCCCTCTTGCTTACGTGCAATCGCAGCCTTGTCTCTGTCTCTGCATCACCCAAATAACTCTTCCCTGCCCTTACAGGTAGCCCTGCTGCGAGCACACGCAGGAGAACATCTGTTACTGGGAGCTACCAAGAGGTCCATGGTGTTCAAGGATGTCTTGCTGCTAGGTAAAGAGTGCGCTTCTGCTCCTGGCCCATCTGCTTCTGCGAAACCTTCCTGCCGGCGTGAAGGAGAGGGTGGTTCAGTGTTTGCAGGCATCCTTTTTGCAGGGGGGTGGCTTGAGATCTTCTGTATTTTAGCGAGCCTAGCACAACCTTTGGGTACAGCTAGGCCTGGCTGACGTTCACACCAAGGCCACGACACATGGCAAAGTTGGGGGACTCTGAGCATTCACGTTGCCCCCCCCGGTTTGCGTAGGCGGGCTGCGGTGTGACTGAGAAAAAGACTCTCACTCCTTGGTCAGCTCTTCCTTGCTTGAGTGACTCCTGAGTAAGGAGAGGCTGCTCTGGCAACTCAGATCGGCATTTCTGGTGGGCTGAGCCAGGGAAGGGGCAGAAGGAGGAACTTCTTAAGTCCTCCACCCTCACCATTATCTCAGCATTGGTTACCTGGGTTTTGAACTCCTTGGTAAGTCTTGGGCAATGACAAGGCGATGGTTTCTGTGCTGCTTGTCTAAAGGAAACGACCACATCATCCCGCGGAACTGCCCCGAACTGGTGGAGGTGAACCGCGTAGCCATCCGCATCCTGGACGAGCTGGTTCTCCCCTTCCAGGAGCTGCAGATAGACGATAATGAATATGCCTGCTTGAAAGCCATCATCTTCTTCGACCCAGGTATGCTCCAGCTTGGTGAGGGTTACAATCAGAGGGGACTAGTCTGGGTTATGCTGACTAATACTGGTCCTGAGTTGTGTAAATGCTGCCTGGTCTCCTCTCTGGGCCAAACTGTTCTTAGAGGGAGGGGAGAAGTCAGCCTAGATAGAGAAAAAATGTCCATTACAGCAGATGATAGAGAATTAGAGACAGCTCACCTCAGCCTGCGCCCAGACTTTGTGCTATTACTGAAGGGCAGTTCCTAGGGAAGCAGCCTGGGTAGTTTGCCTTGTGGGTTGTTTCAGATGCCAAAGGGCTGAGCGACCCCTCCAAGATCAAGCGGATGCGGTACCAGGTGCAGGTCAGCCTGGAGGACTACATCAATGACCGGCAATACGACTCACGGGGCCGCTTCGGGGAGCTCCTGCTGCTGCTGCCTGTGCTGCAGAGCATCACCTGGCAGATGATAGAACAGATCCAGTTTGTCAAGCTCTTCGGCATGGCTAAGATCGACAACCTGCTGCAGGAGATGCTGCTGGGAGGTGAGTACTTGAGGGTCCTACAAGAGGCCTCTCAGTGTTCCCTGATCACCATCCCCTTGAGAACCTCTTAGCCATCGTTCCCTACCCAAAAAAGGTGGAGACAGCCTGTATGCAGCTTAGCCATTGACTCACACAAAATCATCTCCCCCTGTCACTGGCAATGGTAACAAAGGGTCCTCCATTTCTCTTCACTTAAAGAGATGCATTAGCTGTGCATTTGCTTACAGAGAGGTGTCCCCAGCCCTCTGCACGTAGACAAGCTTTGCTGTACAACCACCAAACTCCTACCAGCCCGCTGTTTCGCTAATCCTCCTCTGTGCCAGAAGGGAGTCATCAAAACAAAAGGGTCTGAAAGGTCACGTTGAAAGAGGGTCCCGGATTTTCTACTGGGAGCATCCAATGGGACAAAAGAAAATGAGAAGTTGCCACTGTGCTATTTTTTACGTGGAGGTGTGACTCAGGAGGAGAGGAATGTAATCCTGTATAAGAGAAACGCAGGCAGCAGGCTGGGGTTAGTGAGCCCAAGGCATCCATGGAGGAAAATGGGAAGGGTGTGCTCCAATCACGTATGCACAAGCTGATCAGGCACAAAGCCTTGGACATCTTGGTGCAGTGGGTCTGCCCGTCTGAACTGTCTCCTCCTGTCATCGTGGCAACTAATGTCATATGCACATTTTTAGGCTCATCAAGTGAAACACCGCATGCTCACCACCCCCTGCACCCTCATCTGATTCAGGAGAACCTGGGAACGAACGTGATTGTGGCCAACACAATGCCTCCTCAGATGCACAATGGGCAGATGTGTGAGTATTGCCAGAGAGACGGAGAGCTCTCAGGAGAAACCAAGAGCTTTCAGCGTGCCTGTGGAGGTAGTTTCTACCTTGCAAGGAAATTTCCATGCAAGACAGAGTCTCTGATAATGAGTGTGTGAGAAATTCCTATGCAGAAAGGAGGGAAAGACAATCAGAGAGGTGGGTTAGATTAGATTAGGCTAGACTAACTGATTCAACAAGATGTTCCCTGACAGACTGTAACTTTTAGATAGCCGTTAAATTTAGGAATGAATGTTCCCACCCAGTGCCTACTGAAATCAGTGGAAAGGCTCCTCTTCCCTTGAATGGTTCAGACACACCTCACTTTGTCCTCTGCAAAAACAGGAGAATCTGGTCCACCACAGAGGGCCACCACATAGGGCCACCACTTGGGAATTTGGGCTGAGATGACCTCAGCTGATCAAAAAAGTGGCCAGTACAGGTCAAAATGCCAGTAGCTCCCCTCATTTGATGTCATTATTGTGGCTCTTCCAGGGCATCTAACCACGCCTGTGTGTCCGGGCTGCCTTGCAGCAAATACACAAGCCATTAGGAGCAATGGTTTTGCTACAGAGCCTTTGCTTTCCTTACACCTGAACCTGGTATGACTGAGGACAGATCTCAGTGCTGTCAAGTCTTCTAATTTTGTTTCTCTCTCTGTAGCTACTCCAGAAACCCCACAGCCATCTCCACCTGCGGGCTCAGGACCAGAGCAATACAAGCTGCTGCCCGGAGCCATTGCAACCGTGGCAAAACAGCCCACCTCCATCCCGCAACCCGCCATCACGAAACAGGAGGTCATCTAGCAATCTGCAGACCAGCTGGCCTCGTTTAGAAGACGGTGTGGGAGAAAAACCTGAACTGACTCTGCCACTGTGAAAAGAGAAGCCATCCAGACGTCCTTGGGCACAAACACACTGACTTGCTTCTTGGACTAGTCCACCACCGCCAAAAGCTGTCTTCCTGCAGCTATGGACAGCATGTGCCATGGGCAGCCCCAAGTCCCAGAACTGAGGCTGAAGCCTTACTGAAACCCTCAGTCCTTGTAAGAAGGGCCAGATTTCTGCTTCCCTCTGTGGGGAGGTTGCAGTGACCGACTGGGGACAGTGCAGCTGGCTGTTCCCCCATTGCCACCTCTCAGCATTGGTTCAGCGCACACCAGACCCTGAGAACAAGCGATTCTCTGTGCTGTGTGAATGGAGGGCTTCCCTTCCGCAGCCATGCCAGCTCCCCAGACAGTCCGCAGTCCAGCCAAACCGGATGGAGATGGAAGCTCCCCCAGGAGCATCGCAGCAGGTGAAGCACATGGGTTTTGCCCAGGCAGCGCCGGCAGAACCGCTCCTCAGCCTTGGCTAGTCCCAGGTCGTTGCATGGAGTCACCCTCCAGCAAACTAACCCCCCCAGCCAGGTCTAACAAATCTGTTCAGCTGATACTGGGGCAAAATCTGGCCCACCAGGATTCTCCACTATTTGGATCCTTTTCCCTTTTGAGGGGTTTTGCTATTTCCATGCCAGGACTGCCCTCCCACCACAGGGCCCAGAGAGGCAACCACTGCCAAATCCTTCCCTTACACCACTACTGCCTCCTCGCTACCTGGACTGGGAAGTTGGGGGACCATGAGATTCAGGAGATTTCAGCTAATGGGATGGGGTCACCCCTGCACAGGCTGGCTGTGGGCAGCACTGCCCAAAATATCACCGGCCCCAGTACTGCTTCTCAGTGGTCAGAAGACCACTGGATGCCTGTTTGGAAGGAAGCAGGGGGGAAGGACATATGAAGGGGAGAGACTTCTGAGGGCGAGAAGAGCCCGAGCCTCACAGGTTGGACCAAGGTCTTGGGCTGCCCAAGTGCTGGGAGCATCGTGACCCAGCATCTCAGGTCAGACCCAGCTTTAACGCTAAGATATGCCATATAATCTACTTGTCCAGTCCAGTGCCACTCCCTCAGCCTAGAGTGAGTGGCTGATAACAGGTCTTCATAGCATGATAAAAATTCGTTATGGCTCCTTCAGACCTCAGAGGGTTTGAGGGCAGCAACCTCAAAAATACAGTGCTTCGAGTCCTGCAGAGAACAGCAGAGGTCAAAGAAAGACCCTGTCTCGCCCAAGCCCCTTGGCTCTGCCCCAGCCTTGGGTCTGCACCCACCTGCCCTGCTCCCTCCCTGCCACAGTCCCTGGTTCTCTGTGCCTGCCTGTGCCGAAACCACACAGATCTGACCTTTGGTTTACAGCTGAAACCAGGAAAGGAGCCCTCCCGCACCCAGCGCTTGCCTCGCCGGCCGCCGGCAGGGCTGGAGCTCGCACAGCCCTGCACGACTTCAGGCCTGAGTCATTTCTGGCAGCGGGAGGCAAGAGCACCTCTAACTAACCATAGGCTAGGTGGGGTGCTGGCCTCTCGGGAGGATGAAGCTGATGGAACCACGGCTGCCGAGAGGTTCCTGGAGGGGAGGAACCCGAGCCAGCCCAGCCAGAGGAGCTGCAGGTCTGTCCCTCGATTTCCAATGCAAAAATGAAACACCTCGCCTTGCGCTGATGGTGTCAGAAGTATTGTATCATCTCTCAACACTGGTGGCATCGTACCGAGTAATTTATTGCAATGATGAATCCAATCATTTTCTGTACATTATTTTGTAAATCACATTGATTATTTATAATTGGGAGATTAAATGCAAAAAACCCCGTAATAACCAGGCTGTCTTTTCCAACTGCAGCAACCATTTTTCCTGTACGTAGAGATACTCTGTGGGGAATCCTTTTTGGTTCATTTGCACCAAGCATTCCTCGATACTGTACATTAATTTTTGCTGGTTACTGCCTTCCAATGCAAACAGAGGAATATTTCTTCACTAGAGTTTCATACAAAAAAAAGAGAAATAAATGCAAAAATATTTTCTAACTTTTCCCAGACAGATGGATTTCTTTCTTCTGGGAGGATTTATTTTAAATCAAGGGGCTCAACTCCTCGCTGGTCGGAGCACAAAACGTATGTGTATGGAGGAAAAAGCCCAAAGGAGTGTTTGATGCTGTCACCAGCGGTCACTATTTCCTGGCAAGCCTCACGTTAGCTGGTGTCTGTCCTGAAGCCACGTGTGCTGGAATCATAAGACTGAATGACAAACCCAATTTTCATTAAAACAAACATGAAGAATAAATATTTGCTTTCATGATTCCAGAGAAACTACAGACTTGAAGTAACCACACTCCGAAAGCCAAGCAAAGGAAGCCAAAATATGTTATTAGCAGTTCGAACATGTTCATTTTTGAGTTTCTCTTGTATTTCACAGGTAATTTCTGAGCACTTTGGGGTGATGATCCTGCTTTGCTTCACGCACAGCCAACCCGCTGCACAGGTGCAGACCGAGCCCACAAGGCACAGTAAGACAATAAAGTGAAAGTCAATTTGTCAGTGGTTGTAAAGGTGAAGAAATACACTGACAATTAGAGAAGGCTCTTAATGACCCGCTCTTCTGATCACGGGAGCCTGCTCTCAGCTGTAGTGTGCCCAGGAAGATAACAGAAAGAGGGGAGAGAGGTCTAGATGGCTGTAAAGATTAGGGATCTGGGAAGGAACACCATCCAGCATTTTCGGCTCTGATCTGCAGCGGATGGCCCTCGTGTTCCCCCACCTCCCATGCCCCTGATGTGAAATGAGGTGGGCAGTCTCATCCCAGGTACAAGGGATGAGAAGCAGCTTCATTTTCCATCCCACTTGCACATCCAGTGGCCTCCCAGCGACAGTCACGCTGGTGAAAACTGTCAGCAGGTATGAGATGCAGGGATGAGACTCAGAGCTGCGTTTGAGGACTGCATGGAGACAGAACTTAGAGCCTGCCTCCACTCTGGGGCCAAGGACCCGGGAGAATAGGACAGACCTCAGATAACATGCCCTCGATAGCTGTGCACCCGTGATGATCCAGAGCCCCGACGCCATCGCCGAATGCCTGAGCAAGGTCAGCAAAGGCAGTCGCAGGACATGTGTTATCGCAGCACACACACAGGGACCGAGTGGTTAGTCCAGTCAAGGGAAGGAAAAGGAGTTAGTTCCTTCTCTTTAACATGGAATAAAACCCAGGACTCCTCTGCCTGCCACAGGAACCCTGTGACCCACGGTTGGTTTTACCCGGGTATATGCCCTAAAAATGCCATATATGTAATATCAAATCTTTGAAGCAATAAATTCTGCTGGATTCCTTCCCATGGACTGCTCTATCAAGGTTGCCCTTTACCTGGTTAATCTTAAATCAGCGCAGTTCCTATAGGAGCTTTCTTATTGCTGGATTCAGCTCACTTGGAAAAAAAAAACCACAAAGTGCCCCAGGAGACAACCTTGTCCTTAAGTGGCATCCTCGATCCCAACCCTCAGTTCTTCTCTCACTCCAGCCTGGAATCACCCTGAGACACTGGTCTTGCCACTCGTGGGCTGTGCTTTATCCTGCTGGGCTCCCTGGAGCCCACGGGCAATGTCCCATGTCACAGGAGACAGCTGCCGTAAGGACAGCTAGTATCAGCCTTTAAGACAGAACTTCCTTACGTTGTTTTTGGACATGAGAGCTTTTTACTGTCCTCTTCTGCGCTTGCGACCTAGACTAAGGATGATTTCCTGGAGAGCGGTGTCGCCAGCTGCGAAATCTTTTCACAATGTCCAAGCAAAGATCTGTGAAAGTGGTATTTTTAGGTCCTCTGGCTACTATGAAATGCATTCTTTTCATATTCCTTATATAACCTTCATCTAAAAGAGCCAACAGGCTTTGGAGCCTTTTCCACAGCTTTCATATCTCAGCAGGGGCGAAAAAAAAAAAGGCATACGAGTTTTATGGCCTGCATATCATCTCTGACAAAAGCAACTATTGCTGCTGTTAAACTTGCAAGTGCACACACAGGCACAGATAGTCGTGAACAACGAGCGGCGGCAGGGACGGCTCAGCAACGTGGCACTGCTGAGCCAGGAAATTCTGCGTGCCAGGCTGGCCGGTTCCCTCAAGGCTGAGTGCAAATATCACCAACCAATTTGGGAATTCAGGCCAGGCACTGCACAATCCCTTTCCGCTCGGAGAGGCTGGAGGAGGACGGGTAAGGTCTGGGCATGTTTAAAATCCCTCTCCCCATTCCTAATTGAGGTGTGACCCTGATGATAATCATAAACACACCTAGCACCTGAAAAATCGTCAGCCAGGCCAATAAAAATGGCAAATATAGTGTCAGCTTCGTTAGGTGTGGAGTGAGCAGGAGAGCTCAGCACAAACAACACTGCAGTCACGTCCTTCAGTTCAATGTCCTGTGTAAGAGAGAAGAGGCTGCTGGGGTCAACAGAGCACTCCCAGTTCCAGCCCAGGGGGAGAAGAGCTGAGTCTAACCTGGGTCTTGGGAAGGAAGGTGGTTTGGGAACTGTATTTCCAAGGCTAACTCTGGCTTTGGACCTGCAGCGATGCCAGGCTTGCCTGACTGTGGCTGCTTTGTCAGCTTTCAGAGGCCTGAGGCCACCCCTGACTTGGGAGATGAGGTGCAGAAGAAGATACGAGTTACTCAAACCGCTGGGCTCCGCAGGCCATGCTCCATTGCAGTTCCTCACGTCTGGCGGCTCTGCCTGGCTGGAACCTGCAGTCCTTCCTGACCCCATGGACACGCGAAGACCAGAGAGCCCTTCTGAGCCTGGGGGGCCCCACCCCAGGTGACTCTGGCCTGGGGGAGCTGTTGTGATTCCCTACCTCCTCCCAGAAACTGCCACGGGTGCAATAAGCAGTGCAAGAGCTGCCTGAGGGACACCCATGGCAGAAAGCACCGCGAGCCAGACAGGAATTCCTCACTGC